CCAGGAGCTCTAGCTTAACTCTAAGGGGTCACTATTTATTTTAGGTTCCCATACATTTAACACGGGAATTTTCCTTTTTTCATTGAAACTAAAATTTCGTTAGTCAAAAATAAAAAATCACATATTCATAAAGTTGGTTTTTCCCTCGACAAAATTATTATTTTCAGAAAATTTTTTTATTTTTATTGAAAAAAATCGAAATTTCAAATCACTATATATTTTATCGTCTAATTGAGATAATCAAACTTTGTTGTCATTTATATTTCGCATGTTTTTCGAATCGGTAATTTTTTTTTTCTGTAAGTTGGTAGTACTGTTTGTGACATCTATGCTACATTTCACGTAAAAATATTCATTAATATTTGAGTTGAGGTTCTAAAAGTGAGGCTCATGACCACGCCGAGTAGATCGTTTTGACTCATTTGAGGATATAAAAACTGAATCGAAGAAGGCTCTGATGGTCAAGTGCTATGATGACTGGAAAATTCGTTAGCAAAAGTGTATTGCAGCGGGAGGAGATTAGATTGAAGGAGATGAATTGGACAAAATTCACCTTTCAATACTAATGTGATATATATAAGTTTGTCTTGCAAAGTCTTGCGGTATTTTTTTTTTTATTTTTTTATTTTATAACGGTTTCATAACTCATGCCCAGCTCTTGACCGGTGCTACGGCTGCTACTATGTCGGCCTTTTTCGACCAATTCAGCGATTTTATCGCAATTTTCGACGACCTTCCGGAGCGTGGCGCATCTGCGACCACCTCTACACCAGAACGAAAACGTTGAAACCATCGTTGTGCGGTGGAAATGGGAACTGTATGGGTTCCATAAACAGCACAAATGTTATTGGCGGATTTAGATGCATTTTTGCCTTTATCGTAGTAGTACTGTAAAATATGCCGTATTTTCTCTTTATTTTGCTCCGCTATAACTCTCGAACGACTTAAAAAAAACGAGCGCGTGGAATGAGCTTTCCGAAAAGGTATGGCATGACCCGATTCGACGAATAAAACTAGAACTACGCGCTCTCAGCGCCAACTAGCGAAAATACCGCAAGACTTTTTTGACAATGAATATAAATGATTAGGATGACGAGACGAGTTGAAACTTGAGTGACTGTCTGTCTGTGGGAGCGCTCACCCTAATGTATATAACTCCTTGACAAAGAAAATGAGAGAGCGCATTTTACTCGTAGCAAAGTATCTTTGTGCCCAAAGCGGATAAAATCGGAAGAAAACTTGACACAGCTCCCATATAACTAATTACAGAATTTTCGAATATCTGGCTAGCTTTAATCCGTATGATTGTTGATATGTGAAGAACCTTAATGAAAAAGAAGGAAGATTTTTTAGTATGTGGGATGTTAATATTACCCAACTTCCATTTTTTTCTGAAGAAGTTCTCGTATTTCGATTCTTACAATTTGCAAGAGTATAAAATGCTTGGTAACACTTAGTCCTTCCTTACTTGTTTTTTATAAAATCGTATGGAAATTTCTGAACAAATTTGCCGAATAGTCTTTTCGCACAGAAGTTAATTGATTGATTGCGCTAATTGATTCACAAAGCAATATAAAAATATATTTCATTACAATTATTCTTAATCGAATTCTGATTGAGTTGAAACTGGAATGCAATTCTGTGGGTTTTTGGCGCTGTTAAATTCTGCTGGTTGTTGTCCAAGCTTTAACTTCGGTTGTGTGCATTGCTAAAATAGCAATCAGCTGAAGAATTTTAAACATTAGAACAAACAGAAAGTGAAGAACACGAGCAAGTATAACAGCTTATTGTTAATCGAGTAGCGGGCTCTGCGGAAGCCTAAAACTGGTTTCTTAATTTAAGTTTTAATGTGTTAAATTAATATGGTTGTATGAGAAAGCAGTTTCGAAGCAGTCACTTTTATGGCGAAGTTTAAAAATTCAAATAACAAATTGTATGAGAGATATATGTATAGTCGTACGGTCTGGCCGATCCTTACCAATGATCAATAGTATATCAAAAATCACAAATGAACTTCGCCGTAAAAATGCAGCCGCGAAACTGGTTTTAAACCCTTAGTATTTTAGACAAACTTGTTCAGTATAAACCGGAGCTCATATCCCGCAATTTTCTTTTTTTTTTTTTTTCACCACCCGCTCTAATATATAAACACATATTTACCTTCACTTATATAAATATGTAGTTGTTTGTATACATTTCGACTAAGAATTATACAAATTAACCGAGCTCCCGCTGTGAGCAGCATTGGCGCAATGCAGTCTTGCGGTCGAACAGATGGCTTGGCGCAGCGCAGCTTGACAACAAAAATGTCACAATAACAAAAACACACACAGTGGAAGCATTAAAAGCAGCAGCGCAAAGTGGAAGCAATGCTGTGCAACAACAACAAATAATATAAAACAGAAAGTGAAAGTAAAGCCAAAAAGTACAGAAAGAGGAGGAAAAAAATTTGAAAAGCAAGAACGATGTGTCAAACAGCGCAGACACACACGTGTGAAAGCTATGCTGCTCATCAACCCGCCGACTTACTTACGGTACAGAACAGACGTTGTTTAAGCAGCTATTTTTATTAAGCGTACAGCTACCTACCACAACAATTTTTTGCGGCAGACAATTATTCACGCCAATTTACGCACGTTGCCACTGTATTTTTAGTTGCTTCGCTTCAATATTCCTTTTCCACACAAATTAAATTTCCATTGAATTTCGTTAAATTTTTTCACAATTTATCTTCAATTGTCACATAACAAGACACACGAGTTAAACATTTTCTGCTAAATTATTTTTGGCTTGTCACTCACTCCCGTCACCGGCCACGAGACACACAAGAACGACGGTTCCGCTACCGTTCGCTGCGAATACCGCAAATGGACTAATTTCTTTTAGTGAAATTGTTTGTTACTTTTACTATTTACCTTTCATTTGATTTTTTCCCTTTTTCAATTATACCTGCATTATGCGTGCGTATGTGTGTGTGTTTGATTGGTGTAAACAACACCTGCGCATTGGCGGCGCCTTTGTGATTTCCGTTGTTGTTCATACGCAAACACCGTGCATCCTTCAGCAGTGAAGCTTTTAACCCGCAGAGCTTTAGCAGAGACACATACCTTAATGGACACAGGGTGTGCTGGAAAGAGAATATTTTTTAAAGTTTTCTTTTTAGATTATTAGAATATCAACAAAAAAGCTTTGGTGCATAGGTCCACAGAAATGTACTGATACTATTGAGTTCCAATATAATATAAAATAAAAACCTTAATTCTGATTATAATATACTTTTTCGACTTCTTCACTGAGTTTTCGAAACAAGTTGATTTCTGTTCTATCATCTTCTTCTTTATTGGCGTCGACACTGCTTATGAGGTTATGGCCGACCTTAAAACAGCGCGCTAGTCGTCCTTCCTTTTCACTCTTTGGAGCCAATTGGAGACTCCAATTGTAGCCAGGTCCTTCTTCACCTGGTTTTTCCAACGTAGTGGAGGTCCTCCTCTTCCTCTGCTTCCATCGGCGGGTACTATTTCGTTGTAGAGGTGCAACTGGGATAGCTTCAAGAAGGCTGTATAGTCTTCTTTAATCTTTTGGATGAATGTCACCTTACGCGTATTCGCGCGCAATTAAGGTGTCAAGCAGCTAGCCCCCTTTCCGGGGAATTGCGTTAAGTTAGGCCATGTGCCGAGGACGTACAGACTGATTAAGGTTGAGTTTATACCGAAGGGCGAAAGAGATTTCACGTCAGTGCTACGGATTTTAAGTCGCGTTTACTTTTTCAACGTTGGAGAGATTCATGGATCTGTATATTAGAAGCAGAATACCGAGGGGTAAACATGCCTATATCGATGGCAGATCGATCAACACTGCTTTACGCGATGTAGTGCATGGCTTCAGAGAACACTTATGGATAAATAACTCGCTCAAGACACCCTTCTGGACATGGAGAGGGCCTTCAACAATATGCGACCGGGGGTGGTGGTTAAAACCCTCGAAAATTCTTGGGGGGGTATCAAACCTCAAGCATCTCATACTTATGTATATAGTCTTCTTTGCGACAGAACGATCGTGGCGGAGTGCGGCATTGCAAAGATATGGAATTTAGTAGTTAAAGAACTCGAGAACAATGCTGTTCTTATGGTAAAAGGAAAAATCCTAAATTCCGTGTACCAGCTAACCGAAAGATACTTTAATGGGGTATCCAACTGGGCGAATAAAAGCGGTTTAGCCGTCAACTCAAGTAAAACTGAAATGGTTCTATTTACTAGAAAGTGTGAGATCCCAACCGTGTCTCTCTTCTGGTTCTCGTCTCCGGCCCTTTCCTTTTTCAGGAAGCTCGCTAACTTTGCACTCAAAGCCAGTCAAGGGTTGTCTCACTATAAATAGCACTTCATCATCAGATTCTTTTGAGTGTCTGGTCACAGCAGAAACGCTGGCAACTGCAAAGTAGATTAACTAGCTGGGTTGGAATTCCATTTTGTAGAAGTTACACTTTAAATATTGTGGCCACTAGTTTTCAAAAATGTATGGAGTAGGGTAAGGTGGAAACATCTAGGCACTTTCTCCTCTTTTGTACAGCCTTTGCACTACTAAATCAAAACATTTCGGTAATCTGACCTTCGGCAAGCCAGAAGACAAAGCCGAAACTGTCATTAATTCCAACAAATTTGTGGGAGGCTCAAAGCGCTTGTGAAATTCCTGTTAGGATAGACTTCTTAACCCAACCTTGTAGTACAGGAGTTCTACTTCTCAAACTGTTGATCGTTTTGCCACAGTGTCACTCAAATCTATTGGTGTTTTAATACCACTGAAAATGATTACGAACATACGAACGCACTGCCGAAGCTTATAAAAGTGTTACAAAAATTGCCTTACGGTCAAGGACGTTGAAGGGCGTGATAACTTAATTAACATTCCTGGCATCGTCGGCATTGCTTGAGCCATTATAATACCAAAACTTTTTATTTGTACTTATTCTGTATTATCGACAAAAAAATTGTATAACTCTCAAATTCCTTAGTGTTACATAATATTATATTATATGCACTCTGTTTTAATGTAAATTATAAAAGATTCTCCATATATTCATTATCTTCTTTTACAAATTTTTCCGCAACATCAGTGGGTACTTGCACGTCTTTATAGTTATCTAAACCGATTTCCTCCTCTTTCCTGCATACGTAAAAAAAGATATTTTTATAACAAATTCTACAAAATTATACAGTACAATAATTACTTGATTAGAATATCAACGACGTTTTCACATGCCAAAAGACACTCGGCATCTTTGCCAAACTTCGCTTCCCATTTGTGGTATTCGCGCAATATTTCGTAGACACCTTTAGAACGCAAAACTTCGCGATAACGCTTCGTGGCACATAACTGCAGCAGTGACTCTAAAAGCATTTTGCGCAAATCAGGATCTTCCTCGCGTGTTTTCGTTTCAGGTAAATACTAGGAGTGTAAAATAGAAATATTTGTGTTTAATACACTTATTAAATGAGACTTCACTTACCTGTAGTTCCAGAGGTAGTTTATCATTTTCTTCATCTGTGAACTCTTCAGGTCCGCACAGTGGATATAATATCGTATGCAGTATGTCGTCCTTTTCGTTTAATATAATATTATGGTAGACCGGATCGAAGCAAATATTTTTTAAAATACCTATTGTGCCGCCACGACGAACAATATTTTCTTCATACGAAGCGAACGGTAATATCTTTTCGAGGAAATTATATTTGTCTTCACAAGCAATTTCGCGACCTCTAGCAGTTTGTGTCAAATTACAAAATATAGCAGCTATAAATATAATTTATTTTGTAATTTGCATTTATGTATTGACATTGCGTCTTCGCTTACCCAAATAATGCAGTTTCATATTTTGTTTGTTATAATCCAGTTTTGTAAAAGCTTCAAGTAATTTTGGTACCGTTGTACTGTCCTTTTCCAATTCAACAATTATGTCTTCAACTAGTTTCTCACTACGTGTTAAATTGCTTAGCACCATTGTCCAGGGATCGGCTGTCTTTGAATTCTCATCGACCACTTCCTTAATTGCAGTTGCTATCAAAGGGAAAGCCTGTTGAGAATGTTCTAAATTAGATTAGCATATATTTTTTAAATAATTAAATTTATTTACTTTCATACCGGATTCAGTGATTTCGCGATTTCAAACACCTTTAGGGCGTCTTCTTCTTCTGCGGTTAGGTTAATGAGCGTTAATGCAGCATATTTGGCTATTTCATTGAATTTGTGGTCAACGAGATTAAATACGGCCACCAATACTTCATCATGTTGCAATATAGCCTTTTTGCCATCAATTGAACCACTCAAAGCTGCAGCGAAAAGGAATTTAAATTGGGAAGTATAAATATTTTTAGATTTTAAACATACAGAGCACATGTGTAAGCGATATTGATATCAAATCTTCTCTCTCCAAAGGATTCATAAAATTTACTATGTCTTTGAGCATGGCTGCATATGATACTGCTTCTTGTTTGTCCATTTTATTTTATGTAGTTTTTACTATGATTTTTATTAAACCTTAATATAAGATATAAAAAACAACGTGCGAAGTGCAGCAATTAATCTAAAAACATAAACAATAACAAAACAATGTTGCAAGTTTCGAGTTTTTCCCCAAATCCCTGCTTCATAGTTAAATAAATTATTAAGGGAAAAACTTGTTTAACTTAATTGTCTCCTTTTATATCTTATCTTATTATTACTAGCATTATTTTTATTTTTTTCTGGAGCCCTGCTATAAAAAAATATCTAATATGGCCTCGTAAAACGTTTACATAGAGAATAACCAATTGGCCGTACCTCTTTTATAAAGAAGCAGCACTGCGACTTACTTTTCACAGCTGTGGTCTAGTTTGATATGTACTGACTAAATAGAAGTCAGGGTTGCTTTTTAGAAAATTTTCCTAGCGAAATATTCCAATACATCTGAGTTCAGCGTAAAAACTTTGTTTTTTACGAAGGCTCCCGTCACACGTTAAATATTTATTGTGCTATTTGAGAACAGATATCGCACGAATGACTACTCGCCGGTATATATTCGCACGAATTTTCATTATATTTTAAGGAAGGGTTTTAAAATATTCTTTTGTTTTATTATTTGCTTAATTTTATTCTACTATTTCAGCAATATAACACAAGACAACCGAGGAAAATAAAATTTTTGCCTATGAAGAATAATATTCAGAAAGAGTACTTGAGCAAAAACTATTAAATAAAAGTTATGTTGTTGTTGTTGTTGTGGCAGCAGAATTCTGCCGAGTTGACTGTCTTTGGCCGTATAAAAAACCGGGTCCGTTCCGATAACGTATACCCGACTGTCGTGGGAACGGAATAACACATCCAAATTATGTCGCGCGATATGGTATCCGTGGAAAAAATTCCTAAGCGGAAAAGTAATAATTTGGGGATTTGTTTCCGGTATTTGGGTGCATTATTGCTTCTTTACTATTGGTTCGTTTGTAAAATATGAAGATATGGTAACACTTAAGATTTGTCAGGTTGCAGACGTTTTGTTATTATGTGAATAAATCGAATTGGACAAAAAGTTAAATAACTGCATATATGTACTTATATAAAATCATATGTTAAATAGATATAAAGGATATAGAAACAAGTTATTATAATATCAATAAAAAAAGTGTAATTCAAACTAAGGCGAAACTTAAATTTATGAACATTAAATATAATTGCTTAAAAAACTATAACTTTGCTGCAGCATAATTTCCTGATCCGGCGAATCTCCGCTATCAGCCCAAATCTATGTTAACCTAGCATTTAGAGGATTTAATTCTAAACTTTAACTAAAGCGATTTGCCATTGCAGAGGCACAATGGAGAAACACCGCGACCATCGCACCGGTTATCTAATTCATTTCGCCGAAGAAAGTTCACTACAGTTTAATAGCGTATATATTAAGTTAAATTATTAGCTTAGTGATTCTACAAACAATTTCACCTACAAAATTTATTGCAATCACTGAATGAGGCTGGGGGCTTTATTTTAGTCTATCAGACAGTTGGCCAACTATAACCAAACCAGCTTGAGAAGTAGTAATCAAGTGACAAGTATTTAATATATGTATGTGAATCTGTTCAAATGTATGGTTAAAATGATTGTCGCCTTTAGTTGATAAATTACAAAACAGTCAATGTGACATTTCACATTCGACTCTTGACGTAAATGGTCGTCAAACGGCTGCATACACTTTGGCTCAAAGAATCAACCGGTGCACGCTCTCGCTCGCCACACAATTACACGCGTATTTTAAGAAGTAAACGACGACGATCTTCTGATTGTCTCATATCCATCACAAGTAATTATGAAAGAATGGTTCAGAATATCATGCTTATTATGCATTTGCGGCTTTGTGCACGAAATTCGTCCTTCAGAATCGTACGTAACGGAATATTTGCTGAGCAGCAGACCAAATATAACACAGGATGAGGTATTTACACAGCGCTCTTATTGTAATACATCATTAAGGTCATTATAATAAACATATATCTTTTTTATCAATCCTATCTCTAGCTCAGCCGTAAAGTGTACCCGGTGGCGACGTATTCTTATCTGGCTACACTTGTGCTAATGTTTATAGTCACTGATTTTCTAAGGTAAGTTAAACATGTATTTATATATGTGGGAAAACTGAAAAGTGTTTAAGTTTTATAAGGCATGCACTTGTCGGTCTGAATTGCTGTTTAATCATTTAATTGATTTTTTAATAAGAGTGCTATGTATATACTTCATAGTAAAATAACAAAAAATTATGCAATGTCAAAGAATATATGTAACTCTGCATACATTCGGTTTTGTATGATATTTCGTTTATTATTATTTTTTTTTTAATTCTATTTTGCCGCATTTTAAGTTATACCTAGAACCTTGTTAATATACGTAGATTGTGACACTCAGAAAAAACCGTCTGCGACCATGAAATATATTTTGCATCGTCCGTCTGTTGGAGTTATGTTAACTAATCCCTCAGTTGATTTTGAACTGAAATTTTACACACGGCCTTTCCAACAAAGCAGCTGCTAGACTACTAAGAAGCATTATAGCAAATGTCCGCCATACAAACTGACCGATCAAAATTCAGTTCTTGTATGGAAAGAGTAACATTTTTTTTAATTATTTTGATGATAAACGCACAGAAAATAATTTTCTCGCAATTTAATCTCGTTTAAAATTTATGCAATTTGTTCAATATTTAATGCTTGATTAGGGACTATGTGCCTATGTATGTGTTTGTATGTAAATAGCAACGAACAAAGCTATCTACTGTCTAACAAGGCCCATAAAATGTTTCATTGGCAGTAAATAACTTGTGAGGTGAATAAAAACAATGCGACAAATCTCTTTATCTCTTTAGGGAAAAAAACTAAATTTTATTACTATTTACTCAATAAATTGATTTATGACGCCACGTTTTTATACATAGTACATATACAATATTTTTTGTCGTACTTACATAGCTGCATCATCTACTTATGTACATACATGTGGGTGCATTTTATTGTATGTACGTTAATTAGATTTCATTCACGTCACTTACAAATGATACTTGTAAAATTAAAAACATATTGTAATTTTTTGTTTTTTACTTTTCCATATGTGTACATATGTATGTAGGTACAAACCTTTGATTATTATGATGGGTGCTTGCGGTACAATAGTGTCAGCTATGCTGATCTGGTCCAAATCACTAACAGCTCTGCAAATAATTGAATTTCTATACGGCCTTTATATGGCCTCCGAAGTGGCATATTACACATACATCTACGCTAAAGTGGATAAGGAATACTATCCCAAGGTCAGTGCCCATACACGTGCGGCCATGTTTTTGGGTAAACTAGTGGCCGGCTTTTCCGCACAGCTGCTAGTCAATTTGAAGCTTATGGATTACAAATCGTTAAATTATATAACATTAAGCAGTAAGTATGTAATGATAACACGATAAAACGCAGCTTAAACCCTCAATGCGCGCCTTTTTGTAGCACAAATCTTTGGAACCTTGTGGGCTTTCGTTTTACCAAATGTGGAGAGAAGTTTATATTTCCATCGGAAGAATTACTTTGATAGTATACAGCCAGCGGCAGGTGTTAACTCATCATCTACGGAATTGCAAGATGCTAAATCAATTAGCAGTCAGAATGGAGAAACTATAATGCCGTTGGCACCTTTTAAGTTGCTCTGGTCACATTTTTATAATGCCTACAGCAATTTGAAGGTCGTACAATGGAGTATTTGGTATGCGGTCAGTTTGTGTGGCTATTTGCAAATCCTTACATATATACAAGTGTTATGGATTGAAATTGAGCCGAATAAAGAAATTGCTTGGAATGGTGCAGTAGATGCCATATTAACATTATTAGCAGCGCTTATGGCTTTAGCAGCTGGTTATATACATGCTGGACGATTGAAGCCACTACAAAGTTTATTGGTTTTGTCCACTTTTGCCGCTATGGAGGGTGGCGCAGTTTTACTTTGTTGTTGGACGTCGAACATTTACGTCTCTTACGCTGCCTATATACTGTATGGAGCACTTTATGCCTTTAGCATAACTGTAGCGAGGTAAGTTACTAATATCCAAAAGCATATGTGTGTATATAATGTACATATTAGATATGTTTTTCTTTTTTTTTTTTTAATAATTTAAGCCTATAATGCATAATTTTTTATTTGTTTTCTTTTTTTCAAATTTAGCGCTGAGGTGGCACGCTATCTCGAAGAGGAAAGTTTTGGCTTGGTTTTCGGTGTAAACACTTTTATTGCGCTTGCATTTCAAACGCTACTAACAATAATTGTTGTTTCAAATTCTGGCATATCTTTGGACACGCGTGGCCAATATACTGTGTATGCATTTTACTATATCGTGGCTAGCGGTATTTACTTTATCTCTGTGGCTGTGGAGTATTTTATCAATAGACGTACAAAAAATCGCACAAATCTAGCTGAATAATTTTTTTGTGATATTTATTTAAAAAAAAAAATGTTAACTAATATAGTTAGTGAATTGTAGATCTAAAGTGATAGTTTATACATTTTAAAACCTTATTTCGATATTTTTTAAGTATTTAAAATATTTGTATGTATATTGTTTGACAAACGAAGCACAGTTTTTCCGCTTTAGACTTATCAAGAGACAGCGTATGCGCCGGCAAGGTCATGTTGTCCGGATGGAAGCAGAGGAAGAAAAGATCAAGTAGTGGAGGACTTGGCTGCACTTGCTATTTCGAATTGACATTAAATAGCGAAAAGAAAAAAACGGCTGGTGCGCTGTTGTTAACTCGGCTATAAACGCGACAGCAGTGTACGCTAAAAAAGAAGACTACTAAAAAAAAAATTAGAAAGTCAAAATATAAACTGAAAACCGTAATATGCACTCGTACTCAAATATCTATACATATGTATGTTAATTTACGACTTGCCGCAACAAAAGTCTTCGTATGTCAACGAGTTCTTATGTACAAATAGAAAAAAAATAATATCTTCCTCCAATAACAGCACGAATCTGCGAGCATGATGTAATTAATTAGCAAAGCTTGCAAAATAAATTAAA